CGCAGGTTCGAATCCTCGTCACAGCCCCTTGTGGATTTGTACGTTTTCAGGAACTTTTATTGTATGTGATGTTAGTGCAACTGGTCTATAGTTTGTTGCCAAACTTTACAGATCCCACATTTACACAGTAGAATAACAACTTACTGGACCGAAATATACGGAAATAAATGTAAAATAGAACCAGCGAGGAGTAGAGGTGCCATAGACACAATCAGAGAGCACTGTCTGAACACCAGAGGTCCACAGCTGTTCAACACCCTCCCAGCAGGCATTAGAAATATTGCCGGTACAAAGATGGATATTTTCAAGATGCACTTCGATAAGTTCTTACAAGAAGTACCGGACCAATCAGGCCGTAGTGGATATGTGGGCCTTCGAGCACCTGCAAGCAACAGCCTGTTGGACCAAGTTGTCACAAGTCGAGCCTGGCCTCAGGCCGGGCTCGGGGAATAGAAGAACTCTCCAGATAAGATCGAGGCCTTAAGAAGTGAGCTTGGCTATAGGTAAGAGTGGCCAGGAGCACATGTGGTAATCTTTACATATGTCACCCTTGTGTTCTGGTCCTGACCCGCGTCTTATCACCTGTTGTGAGCGCGTGCCTCACTATCTGGGGAGGTGGAGTGGTGACACCTGCTGCCGCCTCCCCCCTCCTGCCCTCCACCACCACCTGCAGCAGACCTAGAGAGGCTCTCCAGAGTTCTTCTTCTCTCTTTGTTCCTGGGAGGGTGTTGAACAGCCGTGGACCTCTCATGTTCAGACAGTGTTCTCTGATTGTGCCTATGGCAACTCTACTCCTCACTGCTTCTATTCTACATTTATTTCCGTACATTTTGCTCCAGTATGTTGTTATTCTACTGTGCAAATTTGGGACCTGGCCCTCCAGTATCTTCCATGTATATAATATTTGATACCTTTCTCGTCTCCTATCCAGAAAAAGCTTTGAGACGGTCCTAATAATTTAGGTGTTTTATCGTGTCTACGCGTGCCGTATATGTTCTCTGTTTTCCCTCTAATTCAGAGATCTCTCGCGCTCTGAAAGGGGAAGTGAGTACCGAGCAATACTCAAGACGGGACAGCACCAGTGATTTAACTAGTATTAACATTGCTGTGGGTCTCTGGATGTGAACGTTCTCATAAACCATCCTGTCATTGTCCTGGCCGCCGCCGCTATATTTGCTCGGTTATGTTCACTAAATGTCAGGTCGTCAGACATCATAATTCCCATAACTTTTACATGTTGCTTTCTCTCCATGAGCAGGTCTGATTGTCCTGTACCCTGTGTTTAAGTTCCTCGTTTCCACCATACCTCAGTACCTGTAACTCATCACCATTTAAACATATTTTCCGTTGCCCAATCAAAGACTTTATTACACCCCCCCCCCTCTAACCCAGACCTAATACCCTCATGGTGGCAGTCTCTCCCCCCCCCTTCGGGTGGCGGGGCGGGCGGCGGGCGGGAGTCCCCATCGCTGCCTCTCACACTATCAGCACACACTCCACACTATCAGCAGCCAGCGCTCTCCGGCGCGTCCTTCACATGCGATAATGACATAATTAACTACATAATAACTGCAACTCTCAACCCACAAATAACAGCGAGTGCGAGGCTTGACTCTGCCTCTCCCCCGGGTGCCGCCTCTCAACACCAAGCTTCCTCCGTCAGGCCTTGCATGTCCCCCCCCCACCCCCGGCCACTGATCTGGTGTTCTCAAGGTGCTCCCCTGGTGTTCTCAAGGTGCTCCCCTGGTGTTCTCAAGGTGCTCCCCTGGTGTTCTCAAGGTGCTCCCCTGGTGTTCTCAAGGTGCTCCCCTGGTGTTCTCATGGTATTCCCCTATTGTTTCCCTAGTGTTCCCATAGAGGAGAAACTGGTCCTTGCCGTTCCCTGGGAAGGTGCAGGCGTCATGCAGGGTCTCAGGCCATGTAATGGTCCTCAGTACTTTAGGACCACGAGTGGTCGGAGTGGCTCCCACTCCTGACATTACCTTCGTCAGCTCCGCCGCCACGCACCCCAAGCCCGCCAGTGGGCCGGGCACGGGCGCCGCACCCCTACACCGGCCCTCCTGCAGGGGACAGTGCAGCAGCCTGACTCAAACAGCCTTCTGACCCACACAGCTTTGGGTCAGCTAGGGGGAGAGGGAATCCTCGCTGGAGCCGCTGGCTTCGTGGCCATCTTGTGGCATTACTGCGATGTGGTGAAGACGGTGGGGGGCAGCGTCCCCACAGCGCCGGACACTGATGCCATAGTGCTTTATCTTCAGTATTAAAACATGTCTCAATAGTTCCTTTGTTTGACTCTTGCGGCCATGTATTTTTTCCCTGGTTGGAAGCTGTTAATTGTCTATTGAGATATGAATATAAGGTTATGTACAGGAGACTTCAAGAGTACAGGCTGGCATGTGTCACTGGCACTCGTACTCTGTTTGACGGACAGTGCCACACGCACACGCACGCGCGCTCACACACACACGCACACTCACACACCCACGCACACTCACACACCCACACACACCCACACACACACACACACACACACACACACACACACACCACACACACACGCACACTCACACACCCACACACACCCACACACACACACACACACACGCACACTCACACACCCACACACACCCTTAACCCTTCTTGATTGAAGAAGGGTTATTGAACTCGAGGAGGGATACCGAAACCAAAAGGTTAGCATACCGAAAGGGAAACTATGAGGGGATAAGAAAATTCCTAACAGATATAGCATGGGAAACAGAGCTCAGGGGAAAGACGGCCCAAGATATGATGGATTACATCACGCAGAAGTGCAAGGACGCAGCAAACAAGTTTGTCCCAGTCCAAAAGGAAAACGGAGAAATGAAGATGAGAAACCCATGGTTTAATCAAAGATGTAGGCTAGCTAAGCAGCAAAGTAAAAGGGCATGGAGAAACTATAGGAATAACAGGACACTGGAGAGCAGAGAAAGATACCAGAATGCCAGGAATGAATATGTCAGGATGAGAAGAGAGGCAGAAAGACAATACGAAAATGACATCGCAAGCAAGGCAAAGACTCAGCCTAAATTGTTGCATAGCCACATTAGGAGAAAAACAACAGTAAAGGAACAGGTTATGAGATTAAGGATAGGGGCGGAAGGATTCACTACAAATGACAAGGAAGTGTGTGAGGAATTGAATAAGAAATTCCAGGAGGTCTTCACCTTAGAACAAGGAGAAATTCCAGAGGTAAGTGAGGGAATAGCTAACCAGGAACCACTGGAAGAGTTTGAGATTACCAGTGGGGAAGTAAGGAAGTGTTTACTAGAGTTGGACGTGACGAAGGCTATAGGCCCAGATGGAATCTCCCCTTGGGTTCTAAAGGAAGGAGCAAGAGAACTGAGCCTACCACTCTCCATAGTGTATAACAAATCACTGGCAACAGGGGAACTGCCAGATACTTGGAAAGCAGCTAACGTAGTCCCGATATACAAGAAAGGGGATAGACAGGAGGCACTGAACTACAGGCCAGTGTCCCTAACCTGCATACCATGCAAGCTGATGGAGAAGATTGTGCGAAAAAAACTAGTGGAGCATCTGGAGCGAAGGAACTTTGTAACACAGCATCAACATGGGTTCAGGGATGGCAGGTCCTGCCTCACAGGGTTACTTGAATTCTACGACCAGGCAACAAAAATAAGGCAAGAAAGAGAAGGGGGGGCAGACTGCATATTTTGGATTGTCAGAAAGCCTTTGATACAGTGCCACACAAGAGGCTAGTGCGAAAGTTGGAGATGCAGGCTGGAGTGAGAGGGAAGGTACTCCGGTGGATAGAGGAATACCTAAGCAACAGGAGACAACGAGTCTGTGTGAGGGGTGAGGTCTCAGATTGGCGAGACGTCACAAGTGGAGTCCCGCAGGGGTCAGTCCTTGGACCTATACTGTTTCTGGTATATGTAAATGATCTCCCAGAGGGTATAGATTCGTTCCTCTCAATGTTTGCCGACGATGCAAAAATTATGAGGAGGATTGAAACAGAGGATGATAGTAGGAGGCTACAAGATGACCTGGATAGACTGAGTGAATGGTCCAACAAATGGCTGTTGAAGTTCAACCCGAGTAAATGCAAAGTAATGAAACTAGGCAGTGGAAACAGGAGGCCAGGCACAGGATACAGAATAGGAGATGAAGTACTTAATGAAACAGACAGAGAGAAAGATCTAGGAGTTGATATCACACCAAACCTGTCTCCTGAAGCCCACATAAAGAGAATAACGTCTGCGGCATATGCGAGGCTGGCTAACATCAGAACGGCGTTCAGGAACCTGTGTAAGGAATCATTCAGAATCTTGTACACCACATATGTAAGACCAATCCTGGAGTATGCGGCCCCAGCATGGAGCCCGTACCTTGTCAAGCACAAGACGAAGCTGGAAAAAGTCCAAAGGTATGCTACTAGACTAGTCCCAGAACTAAGAGGCATGAGTTATGAGGAAAGGCTGCGGGAAATGCACCTCACGACACTGGAAGACAGAAGAGTAAGGGGGGACATGATCACAACCTACAAAATCCTCAGGGGAATCGACCGGGTAAACAAGGACGAACTTTTCAACACTGGTGGGACGCGAACAAGGGGACACAGGTGGAAGCTGAGTACCCAAATGAGCCACAGAGACGTTAGAAAGAACTTTTTCAGTGTCAGAGTAGTTAGCAAATGGAATGCATTAGGAAGTGATGTGGTGGAGGCTGACTCCATTCACAGTTTCAAATGTAGATATGATAGAGCCCAATAGGCTCAGGAATCTGTACACCAGTTGATTGACGGTTGAGAGGCGGGACCAAAGAGCCAGAGCTCAACCCCCGCAAGCACAATTAGGTAAGTACAATTAGGTAAGTACACACACACACACACACACACACACACACACACACACACACACACACACACACTACACTGCCTGTTAGTGATAGCTTACTCTAACTAGGGTCAAGAGGTTGTCCCGCGGGGCCGAGGGCGGCCCCTGAGGAGTGACAGAGGGCGGGGTTACTCACCAGTGTCGAGGAGCGTGGCTCTCTGCGAGAGGGGGTCGTGCAGGGTGTAAGGCTGGGTGTCCCGCTGCGCCTGTGACAGGTCCACGGGGCGGTGGGCGGTGTGAGGGTGGTGTGACGTGGGCGGCAGGGAGCCTGTGGGCGTGGCCTGAGCAACTGAGGACGGGGGGTAACCGCCCACAGGCGTGCCAGCATGACCATTTACACCCCCTAGTTCCGTCATCACGCCATCATTCTGACAAGACAACACCAACCTTAATAAGACGCTACACCTACCATCTTAACACCCTACACCTTAAGATGCTACACCTACCATCTTGACACTCAACACCTTAAGACGCTACACCTACCATCTTAACACCCACACCTTAAGACGCTACACCTACCATCTTAACACCCTACACCTTAAGATGCTACACCTACCATCTTAACACCCTACACCTTAAGATGCTACACCTACCATCTTAACACCCTACACCTTAAGATGCTACACCTACCATCTTAACACCCAACACCTTAAGACGCTACACCTACCATCTTAACACCCTACACCTTAAGATGCTACACCTACCATCTTAACACCCAACACCTTAAGACGCTACACCTACCATCTTGACACTCAACACCTTAAGACGCTACACCTACCATCTTAACACCCAACACCTTAAGACGCTACACCTACCATCTTAACACCCTACACCTTAAGATGCTACACCTACCATCTTAACACCCTACACCTTAAGATGCTACACCCACCATCTTAACACCCAACACCTTAAGACGCTACACCTACCATCTTAACACCCTACACCTTAAGATGCTACACCTACCATCTTAACACCCTACACCTTAAGATGCTACACCTACCATCTTAACACCCAACATCTTAAGATGCTACACCTTGGTGAAGGTGTACACACTGTGAGTGTTGAGGATGTCGCTGTACAGGTAACTGCTAGCAACGCCTCACACCTCACTGACGGTTAGTCTACTGAGAAAGGTGTACTATAACAGGTGTACAACAGTACACTCTGGTGGTGGGTATACAACGTATATCAACTGAGTAGAATATAGAGGCAGCTAGATGTAGGGACAATACCTAGGTGTAGAGACAGTACCTGGGTGTAGAGACAGTACCTAGGGTGTAAGTACAGTATCTAGGGTGTAGAAACAGTACCCGGGTGTAAGGACCGTACCAGGGTGTAAGTACAGTACCTAGGGGTGTAGAGACAGTACCTAGGGTATAGGGACAGTACCCGGGTGTAAGGACCGTACCTAGGGTGTAGGGACAGTACCTAGGGGTGTAGAGACAGTACCTAGGGTATAGGGACAGTACCCGGGTGTAAGGACCGTACCAGGGTGTAAGTACAGTACCTAGGGGTGTAGAGACAGTACCTAGGGGTGTAGAGACAGTACCTAGGGGTGTAGAGACAGTACCTAGGGGTGTAGAGACAGTACCTAGGGGTGTAGAGACAGTACCTGGGTGTAGAAGTGCTGGGGTGGAGGGAGGGGGGAGGGGGCGGCAGTAGTGTAGGTCACCAGGGCGTCGCTGACACCCGGCCAGTCGTCCCGGGTCTCCAAGCCAGCGTAGCCGTAACCGCCGCTCTGAAACACACAACAACAACAACACTTAAGACATGTTTCTCCTTCACAACACACAGGCAACACCTGCACGTGGACCACCTGCACGTGGACCACCCGCAAGTGGACCACCTGCACGTGGACCACCTGCACGTGGACCACCCGCAAGTGGACCACCTGCACGTGGACCACCTCCACGTGGACCACCTGCACGTGGACCACCCGCAAGTGGACCACCTGCACGTGGACCACCTCCACGTGGACCACCTCCACGTGGACCACCTGCACGTGGACCACCCGCAAGTGGACCACCTGCACGTGGACCACCTCCACGTGGACCACCTCCACGTGGACCACCTGCACGTGGACCACCTCCACGTGGACCACCTCCACGTGGACCACCTCCACGTGGACCACCTCCACGTGGACCACCTCCACGTGGACCACCTCCACGTGGACCACCTCCACGTGGACCACCTCCACGTGGACCACCTGCACGTGGACCACCTGCACGTGGACCACCTGCACGTGGACCACCTGCACGTGGACCACCTGCACGTGGACCACCTGCACGTGGACCACCTCAACAAACTAGATCAATAAAGGTCACAATACAACACCATACATTAATTTGTTGATACCTGGAAACTCTATTCTCTCTTTGTCAATTATGCATCAACGTACACAGTTGTATAGTGAGTACAAGGGTGACAGTGAGTACAAGGGTTACAGTGAGTACAAGGGTTACAGTGAGTACAAGGGTTACAGTGAGTACAAGGGTTACAGTGAGTACAAGGGCTACAGTGAGTACAGTGGGGTACTGCTATGACCCAGGGTTACCAGTTCAGACTAGATACCCTGAGGTCATTCCTGTAATTGTTAAATTAATTCTAATATAATTAATTATGCCCTTACACTACTGTAGTGTTGATATTATGCCTGTTTGTATTTAAACTGCATTACGTAAACGTGTATTATTGTATTATTCGTATGTCATATTTCATTATGTTGTTGACTATTGAACTGCTTGTTGACGGCCGCCCGTCAATTGCTTGTTGACGGCCGCCCGTCAATTGCTTGTTGACGGGCGGCTGGTCACCCATCTGTCTATATCTGTTATGAGAATAAGAAAGAGCGCTGGTGCAAGGACTGCGCCCTGGGGTACAGAGCTTTACCCACTGTGCTTAGACTTTATCCTGTTCGTTACTCGCTGTGTTATGTTGGACCAGGAACTGAATATCTATCGCGCAGCTTTACCAGTTATTTCTAATAATCTCATTTTATGGATTATCACTCCATCTTATCTTGTTATCTTGAGATGATTTCGGGGCTTAGCGTCCCCGCGGCCCGGTCCTCGACCAGGCCTCCTTTTTGTTACTACCACCCTTCCCCAGGAAGCAGCCCGTAGCAGCTGTCTAACTCCCAGGTACCTATTTACTGCTAGGTAACAGGGGCTTCAGGGTGAAAGAAACTTTTTGCCCATTTGTCTCCGCCTCTGCCGGAGATCGAACCCGGAACCCCCGGACTACGAATCCGAAGCACTGTCCACTCAGCTGTCAGGCGCCCTATGTTTTTCCATGGTCACACTTATCACATGCCTTTGTAAAGTGTGAACACCACATCTGCATTTTGTTTTTCTTCTAATGCTTCCGTGATTTTGTCATAGTGGTTGAGCACTTTCGCAAGACAAGATCTTCCCGCTCTAAAGCCATGTTGACTTGGGCTGTGACAAAGGTGGTGGTGGTGGTGGTGGTGGTGGTGGTGGTGGTGGGTGGTGGTGGTGGTGGTAGTGGTGGGTGGTGGTGGGTGGTGGGTGGTGGTGGTGGTGGTGGTGGTGGTGGTGGTGGTGCTGGTGATGGTGGTGGTGATGGTGGTGGAGGGTGTAGGATTATGAGGCTAACTTTATAGATTTATTTTAATTTTAATAAATGGACTGTATATTTAATTTTTCTATTTAGTTTGAGTATAGTGTACAACATAGATAAGTGAAACTTGCACACACTTCCCACCGCGAGGGGTTATATTGGTAGTGCTAATTCAGAATGAACAGGAATTGAAATTGTTAGTTAAAATTATATTCAAGGTTAACAGAAATTGATTTAACTCTTTGTAGTACTGGAATCCGTGTGTCACTTTAGTTATGTTACAGTACTTACTGGCGTGTGTGTGTGTGTGGGGGGGGGGGGGTCCCTGCCCATAACTGCCTACCATTGTTTGACCAACTCCCACCATCTCTAATTGGCTCCAACTACTAACAAATGGCAGAACATACTTATCCTGGGGTCGGAACAGAGCCGTTGTTGTTGTCTTCTGTTAACGGCCGTAATTGTGGCTTAAACGTCAGTTAAGGACATAAAGGGACTGTATATCACGACTCCCCGTGTCGTTGGTCAAGCACTAATGGTCGTCCACACCCAATATGACCACCCCCCCCACACACACACACGGACCAAAGAGCCAAAGCTCAACCCCCGTCCCAAGCACAAATAGATGAACAGAACCGCGCTCTCCTCATGTGAGAATCTGAAGTGAATATATTGATTTGTTTAATATATACTTTTAGCTTTTATCTCCACACTTTAATTCGAGGCTTAAGAAAGTGGTTCAGTTACTCAATCCTGGTGGTGACGGGGGGGGGGGTGGCTCACGTCAGCCGAGTAATATTATTATCATTTAGATTTTAATAACAGAGGAATACTCCTCATAAGTTAATTTAAGTGGTGATATTAGTGGTTAGTGTTGTAAGCTTAACACCGGAGGAGTTCTCACTGCTGTATACTGTTAGAAATACTTGTTAGGATGTTAATTATGTTATAATCGGGAATATATTTCCCACGGAGGGTGGTGGCTGGTGGTGGTGGCTGGTGACAGTGGTAGTGGTGGTAGTGGTGGTCGAGGCTGGTGACAGTGGTAGTGGTGGTAGTGGTGGTCGAGGCTGGTGACAGTGGTGGTGGTGGTGGTGGTCGAGGCTGGTGACAGTGGTGGTGGTGGTGGTGGTCGAGGCTGGTGACAGTGGTGGTGGTGGTGGTGGTGGTGGCTGGTGACAGTGGTAGTGGTGGTAGTGGTGGTCGAGGCTGGTGACAGTGGTGGTGGTGGTGGTGGTCGAGGCTGGTGACAGTGGTGGTGGTGGTGGTGGTGGTGGCTGGTGACAGTGGTGGTGGTGGTAGTGGTGGTCGAGGCTGGTGACAGTGGTGGTGGTGGTGGTGGTGGTGGTGGTGGTGGTGGTGGTGGTGGTGGTGGTGGCCGAGGCTGGTGACAGTGGTGGTGGTGGTCGAGGCTGGTGACAGTGGTGGTGGTGGTGGTGGTGGTGGTGGTGGTGGTGGTGGTGGTGGTGGTGGTGGTGGTGGTGGCCGAGGCTGGTGACAGTGGTGGTGGTGGTGGTGGTGGCTGG